GTTGTGTAGTATCCTACTGTGTGAATATACATAACTAGGTTATTAATCTATTCTCTCGTTGAGGGATATTTGGGTGTTCCAGTTTTGGGCTACTATAAACAATAGTGCTGTGGACATTCTTGTTCTTGTCTCCTGGTGCACATGAATAACAATTCCTCTAGGATATATTCTTTGGAATGGAATTGCCAGGTCATAGTATCTTCAACTTTATTAGGTACTACTTCATGAAATATTTTTTGCTTAGTTCAAAAGGGCTAGAATTGCCAGATTTAGCAAATTAAAATACTGGATGCTCAGTTAAATTTGAATTTCAAATAAATAACGAACAGTTTTTTAGTATAAGTATGACCCATGCAAAATTTATATTTTATCCGGCAACCCTAACAAGGTTAGTGACCTTTACCAAACCACAGACATTGGCCAGTACAGGATGATCGTGAGGTGGTAGTGGAGGATTTGGTTCTTTCTTCCTCAGCTAGGTGGCCCGCCCAGATGTTTAAGAGCAGGTTAGCTCAGGGGGCTCAAGTGCTTGCTAACCAGCTGTGTGGGTTATTGATTGGCTCAACAAATATATATTTAGTACAAAGTGTATGACAGGCAGATGCTAGATTTCAGGAATACAACTGTAAACGTGACAGACAAGGTTCCTTGCCATCCCTAGGCTCTGATAGGGGGAGGAAGCTCTGATTTGTAGCTTTTGCTAATTTTGGAGGTGCAAATACTCTCACTATGACTGATTTCAAGCTACAATTATGATATCACTGAACACTGAATTGAGAAGTGATATTCACGATCGGTTGTCAGGGCAGTATGAACCAGCTCAGTAAAGACACATCCAGTCTCTGGGCTCATTTTTTGTTGGTTTGGGGCTTAGGTGGCTTAGACGACATTATTTCCTAAAATTTAGAAGGAATCAAATGTTAAGAGGTATAAAATGCATTTATACCTATAATACTAGATGCTTTGTAAATATTTTTGCTATGGTATATAAATAGAAGAGAGTCTAATAAACACAGTTGTAAATTATTATCATCCCAAAGATCAGAGCTCAGATCCCCCCCGTTTGCTTGTGACATTCCATTAGGAGAACCCTGAAGACCTCTCTTGCATTGCTCCTTCACCTGTATCCTAGCTCATCCATCTTCATCGTTCATTCATTCGGCAAACATCCACAGAGCCCTTGGTCTGTGCCAGGCACTGTACTAGAGGCTTTAGTCCCTGTCCTCACGGAGCACTCAATCCACAGAACATTCTCTCCAGTCTCTTCCTGATTCTTTCTAGGCAGGTTTACTGCTTTCTCCTTTTACTTGTTCAGTTCACTCCTGTGTTTTCAAGCTGACTCTCTCTCTGGGACTATTTCCCCAAGGAAGATTGCCAAAAAATCCCTTCTAATGATCTTTTCTTGCTCTTGAGATTTCTCCTTTTCCACAGAGTAGCAGGTGTTCCTTTCTGTCTGAATCTGGACTCCTGACTTTTCTGTATCTTTCCTATCGTGCTGTCTATCACTCTAGCCATTCCAACTATCTATCATACATTTTTGGGATGCCTATGTACTAGCAAATGTGCAAGGTGTGGGCAGCTTCTACTTACCATTGAAAAGTTTTCATTTATTTGACATAATTATTTTATAAAATTATATATTTGCACAATTTGTGTCCAGAGGCCCTTTTTATGCTTAAATTACTTAAAAAGTATTTATTGAACTTTTTCTCAATATAAAAAGAAATGTTTGATTCATTGTACATAATTTGGAAAAGCATAAAGGAAGAAATAATCATGTAACCTCACAACCCAAGGCTAGTCATTAACTTTTTGGGGTGTATGCTTGTAGTCATTTTTTATGCACACTTACAAACAAATTGGAATCATACCCACTTTTTCACTTATTATAGTGTGAAAATGTTATCTTTTTTTTTTTTTTCCTTTTTGTCTTTTTTCGTGACCGGCAACGGATCGCAACCCTCAATGTCGCGCCCGTACCGGACCGGGACCGGCATCGGGATCGCAATCCTCGGTGTTGCTCCCACACCTTGCTCAGCCAGTGAGCGGCCGGTCTGTATGTGGGATCCGAACCCTCGGCGGGAGTGCCGCCGCACTTCCCAAGCGGCGCACTGTAGCAGTGCGCCACTGGGCCGGCCCAAAATGTTATCATCTTCTTTGGTATTCTTTGAAGACATGATTTGAAGTGATGTCATGACATTCCATTTTCAGGCTAAGCCATAATTTGTTTAATTAGCTCCCTATTGCAGGTAGAGGCCTCTTTATAATAGTCAGTTGGTGATACCTTTATCATAAGCTACAAGAAGGCAGGAATTGAACATTTAATTGTCCTTCTCAGGCAGCACTCACACACACAAAAAACCTCTAAGGTAACTTTAGTGTGTATATGCTTTGATCCTCTAGTTACCATTTAAAATAAAAAGAGCCAGTCTGCACAAAATGTAACACAGATTGTTATAAAGGTAACCTGAAGCTCTGGAAAAGGTTGAAAGATAACCTAACATCATCAGACCTCTTTGATTGGGCTTTGTTTACCATTCTTGAGAGGAATTGAGCTCTGTATAAAGTCTTGAGACTGGTAGGAGTTGTAGAGATCTCCCCATGACTCTAACATCTTTTTCATAGATGAGGAAATTGAATCAACGGTTGTTACCTGCTGACACTAATACCCAGGTCTCTTAGCTTCCTTCCTGTCATATGCTGTTTTCACCACAATCTGCTGAGTAAGTTTACTCTTAAAAATACAGGAAGAGTATACATTTATCTACATGTCATTACAGAAACTGTTTCCCCTTACAATGCATGTACTTTGGTGTCAAAATCTAATGGTAAGGTCCTTGTTATGTATCCAAGAGAAAGGAAAGCACATATCCACACAGACTTGTACATGACTGTTCATAGCAGCATTATTCATAATATCCAAAGTGGAAACAGTGCAAATGTCCTTCAACAGTTGAATGGATAAACAAAGTGTGGCACATTCATATAATGGAATACTACTGAGCAATAAAAAGAAATCAGCTATTGAAAAATGCAACAACGTGGATGAATCTCAAAATAATTAAATTTAGTGAGAAAAGCCAGACAAAAGGGTACAAATTGTATGCTTTCATTTATCTAAATTTTTAGAAAATGGGAAATACTCTGTAGTAACAGAAAGCAGATCTGTGGTTACCTGGGAGTGGGAATGGAGTGGAGGAGGAACCACAAAGGGGGAGAGAAAACTTTGGAGGATAAGACATATATATTTGCCACCTTGATTGTAGAAGTGGTTTCAGGGCTGTACACGCTTGAAAACTTTTCAAGTTGTATACTTTAAATATGTGCAGTTTATTATATGTCAATTATACTTCAATAAAGTTGTTTAATTTGTGATATTCCCTTCTTAAGTTTGGAAAACAGAACATGACTAAAAACTCACTGAAGAATCTGAAGCAGAAGAAAACTAAAATTACTTCTGGAGATAACTGACAACCAAGGTTCCATACTAGTACGATAGTTTATCTGAACAAAACATTACTATGAGAAATGCAGAGTCATAAAAATAAAAAATAGAAATGACATTTTTGTCACCCTAGTAATCATGCCATTTCCTCATGTCTGTACAGTTGCTCTATATCATAATCTTATTAGTGTTCTATTCAATTTGGTTTTTTAAAGAGTAATAACTTTGTCGTACTTTTTCTTAACTATTAGACTGCTCTTTTATGTACAAGATAGCCAATCCCTGGTGTGCGTGTACGTGTGTGGGTGTGTAAAAAGCTATACTGTATCTATAAATTTTAGCTAATGCTGTAATTTGTTTTGGGAGTTTGTAGTCAGGACTCAGCGGCGGCACTAGAAACAAATTGGAACTTTCTGGAAACTATACCTTCTTCAAGATGAACTCTGTATGGTTTTCCTAAATATGTGAATTCTGTACTCAAATTTTTCTATTTAGACTTTCCACTTACTGTTTTAAAACGAAGAACTGCTATGCCGCACATGTAGTCTACAACACCGCTAGTAATTTTCAATTCCTTTATTAAGATTCTTTCTTTTTTAGAAAACATTAGATATAAATCTTTATTTCTCAACACCGCGCCCCCCCTCCCTTATTTTCTTTTATTCGGTAATTACTCCCATTCTGCAGACGAGAAGGCGCACACAGGTTTTCTTCCACAGTGCAGAGGAGCAAGAAAGAAGCAACTCTCAACTTTTCAGTTCCATTTTGAGAAATGATCACACCAAACTCCCGAGAAGCGACAGCCGAGCGAGAGCAGCAGCACTGCTCCCCAGGCTGGGTGTCGTCGGGAGCCAGGCGCGCTTCCGCGGGAGAAAAGGAGAGTCAGGTGGCAGCGGCGCGGGAGCCGAAGCGGCACGGCGGGGACGCGTGCGGGGCGCGCCTCCCTCCGGCCGGCTGGGGGAAGCCGCCCCCGCGCACGCGTGACCGCCCAC